GCCCTGGGCTCCACTTTGGGGGCAGATTTGGTCTCTTTATCTTGGCCCAAGTTTCCCGTCAGCACTAGGCCTTCAGGACCAAACTCACACAATACAAACGGGGCTTTGCAATCCCTCCCAGGGTCACTGGGCTTGGAGAGGGAATGATGGCAAGGTTTGTGAGACAGGGGTCCCAGCCCCAGGTGGGAAGTGACCAGAGGCCCCAGAGGCGGGGCAGCACCAAGGCCCATGCCCCTTGCACCCATCCGGGCTGCTGGGGCGGGTCTCTGGGCCTGGAGAAGAGACCCACCATGCAGGAGCCTCTGCCTGCTCCCCGCCTCACTCAGCCCTGGGTGTCAGGGCCCAGGCCTGTGCTGGTGGGAGCCTCTTACATAAGCAGCCCTGTGCGGGGCGAGGCTGCAGCTGGGCTGGCTGCCCTGTCCTCTCCCCAGCATCACGAGCCTCCAGTGGGCTGTCCTTGGGCCCTGGCTGGAGGCCAAGCCAGGCCCATAAATAGGGGTCTCCCCAGTGGCCTCTGCTCCTCCTGCCTGCCTCCCTCACTCTGGTCTCTCCACCGGCACCAGGCTCCTGACGCCTGCTCAGCTCCCGGAGAATGGCCACTCTGCACACGCTGTGGATGGGGCTGGTCCTGCTGGGGAACCTGGGGGTCCTGCAGACTCGGGCTCAGCCCCAGGTCTCCCTGCAGCCCAACTTCCAACAGGACAAGGTGAGGGGCTCCCCTGCCCGGTCCCCAAGGCATGAGAGGACCCTGTCAGGGGAGGGCGGCGCCCCCTGGGGCCAAGTTGTCTCCCCGGGAAGAGGGGAGCTGAGCTGAGTGGAAGGAGGGCTGGGCCCCTGCCGGAGGAAGCCCCCTGGGACGACGGCAATTCGCCAATTAAGAGCGCGGAGCCCCGCATCCCCGACCCGCAGGGAAGCAGCGGTGTCCGCGAGCGCGCACACGGCACAGGCAGACACGCGGGCCACCTGCGTGCCCATGCCATCCAAACACAGTCACCCCTCTGAGCTCACGACGCCCAGAGGAAACAGGCACACGTTCCACACCTGGGTCCCAGGACTCATCTCCGTGTGCGAGTGCGAAGACGGAGATGGCGCACGAGGGTGGCGCCCCCGGGTGGCCAGAGAAACCCGAGCGCGCGCGGGTCGGGCCCCGCACACACACAGCCGGCGGCGCGCACACCCTCGGGGGCTGCGAGGGGACGCGCCGGAGCAGGTCCTCCCGCCCCGCGCCATCTCCGGTCTCCAGCCTCGGCCCGCGCCGCCCCGCGCCCCCTCCCCGAGCGTCGCAGACGCCCCGCAGCCCACCGAGGGCAGCCGAGCTCGCCCCGACCCCGCCAAGAACGGCCCGGGCGCCCTCTGCCGCCCGCTCCACCGACAGACGGGGCCGGGCATGGCGGAGGGGCGGGACGGGGAGGGGCCAGACTGGAGACGTGAGCGGCAGGGGCGGGGGCGGGGGCGGGGGCGCCCACCCGGGTTGGCCCCGGAGGGTCCCGGCCGACCTGGGCGGGGGCCGTTCGCCGCAGTTCCTGGGGCGCTGGTTCACCTCGGGCCTCGCCTCCAACTCGAGCTGGTTCCGGGAGAAGAAGAAGGTGCTGTCCGTGTGCACGTCGGTGGTGGCCCCGACCGCGGACGGCGGCCTCAACCTCACCTCTACCTTCCTCAGGTGGGACGGCGGGCGGGCTGCTGGGGCTGAGAGCTTCCGGTCCCGTGGTCGCGGTCTAGGGACGCCCTGGGCCAGACCCCTGACCCCAAAGGTGACCTGCCCACAGGAAAGACCAGTGTGAGACCCGGACCCTGCTGCTGCGGCCGGCCGGACCCCCAGGCTGCTACAGCTACACGAGTCCCCGTGAGTGGGGGCTCCTTCCCGGGACCCCTGGGTCCAGCCCTGGGTGACACTTGCTGGTGTTGCTCTGGGGGAACCTCCTGCCCCAGCACTACACGAGGTGGGGTGATGGCTGCTCCACCAGGGTCAGCAGGTCCAAGGCCCAGCCTGGATCTGCCCCAGGCTCAAGTGTGGGGAACCAGGGACCCTCTCTCTTGGCACTAGATCCTCTTTGGAGCTCACCTCCTGCCAGGCCCCTCCCTACTGCATGATGGAATTTCCCCAGATCTCTGCTGGCCAGGCCGAGCACACGTAGGCAGCCCCCCAGTACCCCTCACGCCTCCCCACAATTCTTGGCCCTGGGACTACTCAGGCCTCCTCACTCCCCTGGGGATGGAAACCTTTTCTCTTCCCAGTTCTGGCTAAAGGGTTTGTGGCTGCACCGTGAACCCGTGATTTTCTGAGCCTGCGTGTTTGCTGGCCCCTCAGGATTTCTGGCTTGGGGACACTGGACCCTGTAGCGTTCACGGGCTATACAGGCAGAAAGCAGGGAGCTGGCTGCCTGCCCAAGAGGGGAGGGGCCCAGGAAGTCAGCCACACAGAGGGGGACCATCCCGGGCCCCCTCCCACAGCCAGCCCCAGAGCTGGGCAGAGGTGTGGGGGCAGGGTCCCCGACTGGGTCATCTCATGGGTTCCCAGACTGGGGCATGGTCCACGAGGTGTCGGTGGTGGAGACAGACTACGAGGAGTATGCTCTGCTCTACACCTACGCCGAGGGCACCAAAGGCCTGGGCGGCCAGGACTTCCGCATGGCCACTCTCTACAGTACGTGCCCCACCCCATGGCCTGGCCTGAGGCCCAGCCACAGAAGGACCCAACGGGGGCTCCTCAAGCCTCAGGGGTGGGGGCAGAGCAGAGATCTCCCTTCACTGAGGCAGGGGCTTCTCCTTCCTGCCCCAGGTCGTGCCCAGAGCCCGAGGGCTGAGGTGAAGGAGAAATTCACCGCCTTCGCCAAGGCCCAGGGCTTCACAGAGGACGCCATTGTCTTCCTGCCGCAGACCGGTGAGGGGGGCACTAATCTGACGGGGGGATTAAGGTCAGATTAGAGGCAGACAAGCAGTCTCCTGATTCAGGGGAGGCTGTTCTCCAGCATGGGGGCAGTCTGTCCTCACCCCATGACCTTGGCTGCAGCCCCTGGGAGGGGCACCGGAAGATGCTCTTCTCCAGGAAGCCCCCATCTTTGGATTCACCAGCACCCACTGTGTATCCGGCCTGGGTCAGCCCCCAGGATACAGGGATCCCCAGCCTGGTGGGGGACAGGCCCTAGAAATGGAACCTGCAGGGTGGGGGTGCCCATGGAGAGCAAAGGCTGCAGGAACATGGGGCACCAGCTGCACAGAGGCTCAAGCACAGCGGCTGGGGTTGGGGGGCAGCCCAGGTGGGGAGGCGGCCCCAGCCTGGGGTGCTGACTGTGGCCCCGGCTTCTTTCTCGGCAGATAAGTGCACGGAGGAGCACAGTTAGGTGAGTGCAGTGGGCAGAGGGCGGCTCCACCTGGCAGTCCCCACTCATTCACTCAGTCATTCAGTCAACACATACCAACCAACAGCCACCTTGCCGTGCAAGTGCAAGGGTGGTCCCAGGCAGGCAGGGGCCGGTCCGAGGGGATGGGGCTCCAGTGGGGTTCAGCGAGGTTCCTGGGGATAGGAGGAGCTGGAGGCTGGGACACGAACAGGATGAGGGAGGCGGGAGGGGAGGTCAGGGGATAAGGTCGGGGTGGGGGGTGTGTGTCACTCCCCTGGGGACACTGGGGCCAGGAGGGGCGGCGTTGCCTGCCCCACCCACCTGATGGTTCTGCTCTCACGGCCAGGTGACCCCAGCCCTCAGGACCTGGCTGTCCTACCCTGCTCTGCTCTTTCTTCCAAGACCCCCGAGACTCCAGCCCTGGCTCCTCCCTTCCCTGCCTCTGCTCCCTTGGGCTTTGTCTCGCTCTGAGAATAAACTCTGGAAGCAAGTCAGTAGCCTGGCTCCTGCCTGTGTGTCCTGCAGTTGCTAGGGCCCTGGGCCTGGCTCTGGCCGGCTCCCTGGGGACCTGGCCACCCCCCCCCCCACTCACTCTGGGCCTTGGTCTCCCCTCTCCCTCTGTAAAATCTCAGAGGCTGGCTCTGTATGACATCCGATGGGTGGCCTAGGGCCTGCTATTGTTTGCTCTTGGTGGGGTGGGGGAGGTTGGCTGGGTCAGAGTCAGGACAGCTAAGTGCCATCACATCCCCACCTACCCCACATGGAGCTCTGACCTCACTGGTGGGTTCTGGGCTGGTGCCCAGTCAGCTCCTAATCCCCAGGCCCGTGCCCATGGCCTGCCCCGCCCCCAGCCAGGAGAGGCCTGAGGCCCAGGGAGCTTTGGATCCGTGGGTTTTTGAAGCAGAATTAGCACACTTGGATTGGGCAGAGATGAGGGTTTAGGGAGACAAAGAGGAAGGTGGCTGGAGCATCTGTGCCCCGCCCCCCCCCCGCCCCCCGGACTGGGACAGACTGACCGATGGGCTGGAGACAGGCCGCCCTCACATGTCCTCTGGCTACCTGAGCGCCCCCAGTCCCCTGCACCTCAAGAGCACACAGCACTGCCCATTCACCAGGCCCCTGGCACCAAAGCCGACCCCGCCCGGCCCTGCCCCTCACCTCCTACTATCCCCCAGATTCCTGGCTGGGTGGCCATTTTCAGGCCCTGTCCTGGGCCCTCTTGGCTCACAACTTGCAGGACCCACTGCAGCTGCCCACCAGGGCCCCACCTGGGCAGACCTCAGCCAGGCCCTGCAGAGGTACCGAGGGTTGTGAGCTTCTGGCAGGGCTACCTGGAGGAGGGGACCCGGGAGCTGTGCCCGAGCTGAGGGCTGGGGGCAACATCCCAGAGGGCCTGCTGGAACTACGCCTCCCCTGCTGTGGGGCATCTGGCGCCCTCCCCAGGAGGAAACTCGGGGGTTGGGCGGGTCGGATAGAGGCAGCTGGGCCAGGTGCTGCAGGGTGCAACTCGATCAGGACCTATCTCAGTGGGCCCTGTCCCAGGCTTCAGACCAGCCGCCCCAGGGCATCTTGGGGGCATAAAGGCTGAGCGGGAGAGGCTGCCCCAGCTGCCCTGCCCTGCTCCCGAGCCCCATGCCGTCACCGAGAACCTCTTCCGCGATGCTGCAGGTGCTGCTGCTCGGCTGCATCCTTGCCCTGCTCCGGGCGTCCTCAGGCCAGGCCCAGGTCCCCATCCAGGCCAACTTTGATGCCAACCAGGTGCGCCCAGGCGTCCCCAGGCCAGAGCCGTCCCTCCTCACGGACGACCCCACTGATCTGAGGAGCCTGGCTGCATTATACCCAGAGAGGCTAGAGGATCAGGGGCAGCCCGGCCCTGCCCACACCCTCTCTGATCCAGGCTCAGCTCGAGTCTGGGGGCCGGGGTAGAGAGCCCCCATCCATCTGCTCCACCTGACTGGGGGTGGGGTGGGCCCAGGACCTCACACCAGGACGAGCCGCAGCTGCCCCCATCCTGGGTCAGCGTTGATGTGGGCGCAGGGGCTTCCCCAGCTGTCCCGCACCCTCCCTGCAGTTTCAGGGCACCTGGTATGTGGTCGGGGTGGTGTCGGACGACCAGGGCTTCCTGGACTCCAAGGACGACATGAAGATGCCCGTGGTGTTGGTGACCTCCTTGGCCAACGGTGACCTGGCCCTCAAGTTCGGGTACTCCACGTAAGTGACCCCACGAGCTCCACCTCGGCCTGGGCCTTAGACCTGGCCAGTGTGAGGCCAGACGCGAGCCAGCGGGAACAGAGGTGTCCCTGACACATCCGGGAGGCAGGCCCAGGCCGGGCTGCAGGGGCCGTGCAAACAGCAGCAGCAGCTGGCCTGCTGCCCGAGGGGCCAACCCCGCGGGGGACGCCTCCGCCTGAGGCCCCGGGCGTGGAGGAGCAGAGTCCCTGTCTGTGTGCAAGTCTGGAGGGAGACCCACATCCCCTGGCTGTGTGCCCCTGACCAGGTCCTTGCTCCCTGCCCCCCAGCTGTCTCCTCACCTGTAAGACAGTCGTGAGCACCCGTGTCCTCTGAGCGGGGCAAGTGGACGCCAGGCAGGCTGGGCACTGGCCCACCCCCTGAGTGGTGGTCAGCAGCCCCTAAGTGGTGGCCATTTGTGTCGTGGGCGGGCAGCATCCTCAGGACACGGGCGGGGGCCGCTGCTCAGGGTGGCGTGGCTCCTCCTCCCCAGGCCCGATGGCAGCTGCCAGAAGGTGGACGCAACCCTCAGCAAGGGTGCCATGGACGGGCAGTTCAGCAACGCAGGTGAGGCGGGTGGCGGCCGGGGGGGTGGGGCCGTGCTGGCTGCCAGTTGGCATCCTGGGCGGGGCGTGGGCTCAGCGGGTTCTCGCTCCCGCAGCCATGGCGCAGACCAACGTCCGGGTGGTGTCCACCGACTACGAGCATTTTGCCGTGGTGTACCTTGAGACCCAGAAGGAGGGCGTCAGGAACGTCTGGCTGCAGCTCTATGGTGGGTGGAGGTGCTCCTGACACCCCCACCCCGGCCCCAGCCACAGGCCTCTCCTCCTAGGGGCCATTTGCCCGAGCTCTGGTCTGGACTGTTGCCCTATGCACTTTCCAGCAAGTTCCACCTCCTCGGCAGGTGGGACCGCTGTCTCCCAGGGTCTCCTTGGGACCGTGTGTGTGTGGCAGAGGGAGTCCGGACCCCTCCCCTCCCCGTCTCTCCTCCCCGCCTCTCCTCCCCGCCTCTCCCTGCCTCCTCCATCCCCCCCTCTTCCCAGCCTTGCCCTCTTTGCTCACCGCCCTCCCTGCCCTCAGCCCGAGCCCCAGAGCTGTTTCCCGAAGGTGCGCAGAAGATGCAGCAGCTGGCTCCCCTACTGGGCCTGAACCCCAGCCAGGGCGCCCTGCTGCCCAAGTCGGGTGAGTGCTGCCCCCATCCCGGCTCAGGGCTGCAGGAGACCCCAGACCCCGACCCGGAGGGGCAGGCCGGGAGGCTCACTGCTTGGACCTCAGGCGTGGACAGAAGTACAGGGGCAGCCCTGGCCTACCTGGGCAGGGGAGGGTGGGACAGTGCCCCCTCAGGAGGAGATGGGGGGGGCTCCGCCCTAGCGGAAGGGGCGCTGGGTGGTTGCTCAGGCCCTACTCTCTCCCACAGACCAGTGTGCTGGCGCCTTCTCTTAGGTGAGTACGCAGGGACCGGCCTGGGCACCCCTCCTCTATTGTGCAGTGCCCAGCACCCTGCTGACAGATGAAGGACCCCCTGACCGGAGGGCTGCACTGTGGGGGTCCTTGTCTTGGGGCAGGGGTGGGGTGGCACGACAGGATCAAGACGGGACAGCAGGCAGTGTTGGGGAGGGACAGAGTGGGGCCCAGGCCGGGCCCAGGGAGGGCCGAGGATACTGCCCACCCCCCACCAGTCTGCTTGTTTGCAGGGAGTGATCAAGGAGTGCCGGCAGGGCGGCCGTGCTGCGTGCTGCTCCGCGTACCAAGCCCTCCCCAAAGAGTGCCCCGCTTCTCTCCACCCCGCCCCCAGCACAATAAACAGTCTCCGAAAGCCAAGCCTGCGTGTTTCTCGTGGGGAGAGAATAGGGGATGGGGGGGTGGCGCGGGGGTAGAGGTGTCCTGGGAGAGGGCCCGGCCCCACCCCCTAAGGCCTGGGTGCCCAGAGAGGGACAGCGCGGAGCTCGGGCTGCGACCGCGCAGGACGGTTCCTCTACGGTAACCCTTGCTAGGCGCGGCCCTGCTCTGCCGGCCCGGCAGCCGTCTGGCCTGGGAGCGGCTGAGGCTCGGCTCCGCGGCCCAGACCTGCGCGCAGCCGCAGAGCGCGCGCACCGAGAGCGCGCAGTGCCGGCCGCGCGGACCGACGCCAAGGGCGCGCCTGGGCTCCTGGGGACGCAGCTGGCCGGCTCGGCCTTTAGGGTCCTCCCAAACCGCGGCCGGGAGGTGGTATCTGGGCTGCTCTCTCCCCAGGGGCGCCTTCCATCCCCCACTTCTCCCCGACCCCCGGCTGCGAAGTGCGGGCGGTTCACACTCTGAGCCAGGCCCTCCCCGCCCAGAGTCGGGGAGAGGAGGCATGGGAGGAGGGGGGGCAAACTCTGCCCTGCCATTGTGTTTGTGCGGGACAATGTCGCTGTTCTTTAAAGACACGTCCTGAAGAATGTGAGGGTAAAATGGCATGCTTTCTGTCGTGTAAATAGCTCAGGCAAAAAATAATTCCGGATGTAAATATGTCAAAATGTTGATAATTGTTCCATCTGGGTAATTATTCCTGCTTGTCAGTTGGTTAGACATCTTTTCATTAAAAAAAAACCAGCCCTGTCCTGCCAGACTTACTTCCTTGATCCAGGCCCCGGCGGGGAGGTCAGAGGGATAAAGAGCCCCCACTCTCCCGGGGCCCCAGACAGCCCTCCACACTTGCACCCAACACCTGGGCGCCCAGCCGGCACCTCTGCTGCCTCGGCCTGCATGCTGGCCTCTGCCCCACCTGTGGACACTACAAGGGCAGGGTCCTGCCCAGGTGTCCCCCCTGCCCCCAGCCTGACACCAGTCTGGAACTGAAGGCCTGGCGGGGGTGGGGAAAGCCCAGAGAGCCAGCCCCCTCCCACACGTGTGATCGGGGAGCTCTCCCTTCCACCTTTTCTCCCGATGCTTCTGCTAGGGGCTGCTTGCCGGCCTAGAGACGTGTCTGCTGAGATGCGTTCTGAGCTCAAGTCCGGCAATCCGTCAGCCCGCGGCTTGTCTTGTGCTGCACCACCCTGCTCATGCCACACGGGGGCAGCCCTCAGCCAGTTCTCCACCCAGAAGCCGAGGGGCTATGTGTTCAAGATCCCTCAGCTCATGCCCTCCTCTGCTCAGAAGCACCCTACGGGGGTTCCGTCCCACCCAGAGTAAAGGCCAAAGTCTTTAGGTGGCCAACAAGAGCCCTTTTGATGGGCCTTCCTCTGACCCCACCACCTATCCCCCTTCACTCCAGCCCACCTAACCCCTTCATGTCCCTTGAACATGCCAGCCCAGTGCCTGCCACAGGGCCTTTGCACAGGCTACTTCCCACACCCCGGCCCCAGGAATGCTCTTCTCCCAGCTCTCTGCTTGGCTCACTCGCTCCCTCCTCTGAAATCTTTTGCTGAAATGCCACTTGCTTGGTCCTTCCTTAGATCTCTGGGACCACTCTAGCTGCTCCTTCTCTGTGCTCTGTGCTCCTCTCTGCTGCTCAGCCTACACTGCTCCATGCCCTGGGGTGAGAGGTCGGCCCCTTCTCTTCCCTGCTCTCCTTCATACCCTGACTCGGTGCCCGGGCTGCTCGGAGCCCTTCTTAGACCCTCCCCCGCTCTGTGTTTGAGGCCCCACCTACCCTGTACCTAGATGTTGCCCTCCACCTACCATGCACCCACATCCCACATTAAATCAGATTGCTCACAATGGAAAAGCTGATGTGCTGAAGACTGGTTGATGGGTTACATTTTCTAGATATTCGTGTAATTGCTTTAAATTTAGATTTTCCAGCTTTCTTATCATGTTTGGGAACTAACCTTTGTTTCGGGTCTTGTATTAGTTTCCTGTGACTGCTGTAACAAATTATCACAAACTTGGTGGCTTAAAACATCCATTTATTCTCCTACAGTTTTGGAGGCCAGAGTCCAGAATCAGTTATTAGTGGGCTGAAATCAAGGTGTCACAGGGCTGTGTTCCCTCCAAAGGCTCTGGGGGAGAGTCCTTGCCTCGTCCCGCTTCTGATGGCTGCCAGCACCCCTTGGCTTGTAGCTGCACCACTCCCATCTCTGCCCCCACGGCCACACTGATTCTCCTCTTCTTCTTTGTGAAATCTTCTTTTGCCTCTCTCTTATAAGGACACTTGGGATGGCATTTAGGGCTCATTTCAATAAGCCAGGAATGTCTCCCCATCTCAAGATCTTTAACTTATCTGCTTCTGCAAAAAACCCCTTTTCCATACAAGGTCTCTACCACGGGTTCCAGGGATTAGGACCTGATATTCCCAGGGGTCCTTGTTCAGCCCACCACAGTCTACCTAGAAACATTTTCCTAGGCCCTGAACACATGCCTAGAGGGACTAATGTTTAAGACAGTCCTTGAGGCTGGCTACTCCACATTAACATCTCAGGCCTGACTCTTCCTCCAGACTAGAGTCTTGTGTTCACAGCAGCCTTCACTCACCTCCATCAGACATCTAGCTGCATCCCGGAGTTCACGTGACAAAGGAGAGGCCCCCTACAACCCTGCCCCAGCCCAGTCGTCCTGGGGAAGGGCATTTGCCCTCTCCCCAAGAGGAGGGGTCATCATGATCCCTCCCCTCCACCTCTCTCCACCTCTCTCCACTTCCGGTCTCAGCCCTGGCCCGGCCTGCATCCGCTCTGCCCTGAGGGGCACAGCAGCTATTCTCCCTGCCCCCCTCACCTCCATAACTGCAGCCCTCGGGCCTCTTTCCTCCCAGCACTCACTGTGGGCTCCACACACGTATGTCCGCGTGGCCCTCCCTACCCACCCCTGCTTAACCCCCCCAGCACCTCCCACTCGGGGTTCATGCATTCACAGTGTTTATTGAATATCTCTATGTGCCAGGCACTGTTTAAGCACTGAGGACACAGTGGCAAATAAACAGACAGACGGTCCTCTCCTTGTGGACCTCATGGGGGAAATGGGCAACAAACAGGATAAATAAGTGTGTTAGTGACCTATGGCTAAATAACAAATTACCCCAAAACTTAGTGGCTTAAAACAACGAGCATGTATTATCTCCCAGTTTCTGAGAGTCAGAATCTGGTCCCAGGTGCTTTGGGCCCCCTGGCACAAGATCTCTCACGAGGCTTCAGTCAAGCTGCCGGCTGGGGCTGTGTTCTCATCAGAAGGCTCAGCCAAGGGGTCTGTGTCCCAGCTCCCTCTCTGGTGGTTGGCAGGCCTTGGTCCTTTGCTGCGTGGGTGTGTCCACAGGGCTGCCTCATGTCATGGTGAGCAATTCCAGAGGGAGAGAGAAGTGACAGCCCATCCTTGCTGCTGTACTCTATTGGCTAGAAGAGAGTTACTCCATCTAACTCACACTTGGGGGGTACACAAAAGTGTAAATGCAGGAGGCAGGCATGGTTGGGGGACATCTCAGAATCTGCTGCCACAATAAGTAAACCAGAATGTGCTTTATTTAGTGACAAGTGTGGAAAACAAGTAAACACAACAGGAAAGAGGACGTGAGATGTTGGGCAGTGCGTTGACATTTTATATAAAGTGACTAGGGAAGGCCTCACTGAGAAGGTGACTTTTGAGGAAAGACATGAAGAAAGTGTGTGAGTCTGGGGAAAGGGTGTGCCAGGCACTGACAATAGCATGTGCAAAAGCCCTGAGGCAGGATCCTGGGGGGGGGGGCAGGATTGTGAACCAGGAGAAAGTAGGAGATGAGGCAGGCTTGGCTGCAGGCATACTTGAAATATGTTAGCATAGCCTACAAACCCCCTGGCCACCCTCCCCCTGGCCACTACGTGGTCACCCTGGCCTTCTTGCAAAGCCTTGAGCAGAACTGTTCTGTGCCCACTGTGGGGCCTCTGCAGTGGCTGCCCCTCTGCCTGGGATCCCGCTATCCTGGTGTTCTCCATCTTTCTTTTCCCCAAGGTCACGGCTCCAACGGCACCTGCTCCCCATGCGAAGTGTGCACGGCCTGAGAGTGTCATGTTTCGCTGTGTATCATTTGTCGCTCCCATTAGCTCTCACAAGCGCCGGATCAGAGGCCGCGATCAAAATGCGCTCAAGGACAGCTGGGGGCACAGAAGAGGCGCTGGGAAATGCTGTGGAACGGCTGGAGGGACGGGAGCCTTCTGCGCTGGTTACCGTACTTTATTCATAAAATACTTTCATTTGGCGTCAAGAAGCTTTGCGTTTGTATCTGAAGACGACGTGAGAAATATACCGCGGAGGTCGACACTGGGCGGGGAGGCCAGCGGGAGGCCACTGGGACCAGCGAGGGCGCGAGGCGGCCTGAGCGGTGGCCAGCAGGGGGGCTGGACCCAGGGCAGGGACTTGCGCGCAAAGGAGGGAACCTCGGACTCAGCGGGGATGGCAAGTACGCAGAGCGGGTAAGGCCCGAAGACACCTCCACACGGGCGCGAGGGCTAGGAGCCCGGGACCGCCCTGTGCAGCCCACGTGGTGCAGGGACAGCGCTACGCTCAGGCCCTCCCGGGAGCCCCGCCGCTGCGCGCCAAGCTCCGCCCCCGCAGACCCCGCCCGAGTCAGCCCCGCCCATCTAGCCCCGCCCACCACCGCGGTCCTGCTCCACCCCACGGGCAGGCCACGGCCCACGGCAGGCCTCGCCCCGCCCTAAGCTCCGCCCACCCGGCTCCGCAAGCTCCGCACTGGTCCGCCCTACCCGGCCAGGGCCCTAAGCCCCGCCCCGCGCAGGCCCCGTGGGCATCACTCGGCCCCGCCCCGCCCCCCCGAGCCCGCCCACTGGTGCAGGCCCCACCCCCGGCCCCGGAAGCCGTCCGCCGCGCAGGCGCCCTAGGCCCGCAGCCGAGCTAGGCCTGTCCCGGCTTTTCCGCTCGCCGAGGTGCTATGGTGCCGCCGCCGCTGTCACCGCCGCTCTGCACGCTGCCGCCCGGCCCCGGGCCCCCGCGCTTCGTGTGCTACTACGAGGAGGACGGGAGCGGGGCCGGCTTCAACCTCTGGTGAGCGGCGGGGTCCGCGGGGCGGTGGGGCGCGGGCCGCCCTGCTCGTCCCGCCTGACCTCCCCTCCCCGCAGTGTGACGGACGCCGCGGAGCTCTGGAGCACCTGCTTCACGCCGGACAGCCTGGCGGCCCTCGTGGGTAACGGGGCTCCTGGGGGGCCTGACAGCCAGCGGCACCCCGTATCTGCAGCCCGGACCACCTCTGGGGCCGAACGGGGCGGTCTGGGATTTCCCGGAGGGGTCTGGACACCTTCCCCGGCTCTGTAGCCGTAGTCCTAAGATCGGCCTGGGGTCCCGGGTGGCTCTGGGTCGGGCAGGTTTGTGGTGTCCCCAGTGGTTCTAGGGTCTCGGGCAGCTGGTGACCAGCACCTGTGCCCTGTAGAAAGCCCGTTTCGGCCTGAGTGCGGCTGAGGACATCATCCCGCGGTTCAGGTGAGCCCCTGAACAGAATGAAGGGTGGGTGGGGAGCGGGGGCGTCTGGCCGCAGCACTCAGCACCCCTCCTTTCCCAGGGCAGCCTGTGAGCAGCAAGCTGTGACTTTCACCCTGCAGGAGGACAGAGGATCCCTGACCCTTTCAGGGGGGCCCTTGGCGCTGGACTTTGACCTCTCCAAGGTGCCGGGCCAGGAGGCAGCCTCCAGGTTGCAGGCACTGACACTGGGCCTGGCAGAGCGCGTCTGCAGCTTGGAGCGGCGGCTGGCAGGTAGGGTAGGCGGTGGGCACCCCACACCCTCTCTAGGGTCCCCTGCCTGTGCCTCCATTCCTGGCTTTCTTCCTCAGCTGCGGAGGAGACAGCCGCCAGCCCCAGGAAGAGCCCCAGGCTGCTGGGGCCTCAGCTCTTCTTACCAGGTAAGGCCTGTCACCTCTGACTTGTGCTGGGGCTGTCCTTTTTCCTCTGGGACTCAGTTTCCCCAGAACAAGCCTCAAGCTTCAGAGAGAGGATCTGTCTTTGTGGAGAGGGGGTTGTGACCCTGTGATCCTGCTGGGTTCAGGAGTCCCCCCCACCCCGATCCTGTTTCCCCCAGATCCAGATCCTCAGAGAGGTGGCGCTGGACCTGGAGTCAGGAGGCGGTGTCCGGGAGAGTCCCTCATCAACCCCGGCTTCAAGAGGTACTCACCCACCTGCTCCTCCCTCCTCTGCCCAGGGTCCATCCCTGGACACCTGCCCCTCCCTCCACACCCCCATAGTGTCACCCCCTTTTCTCTCCCAGTAAGAAACCAGCCAGTGGTGTAGACTTTGACGACCCCTGAAGGTTCAGCAAAAAGCGTGACCCTGCCAGGAGTCCACCTGTGCGGAGAGAGGCAGCCCCTGGAACACCACTGGAGACCCACCACCTCCACCTGCCTGTCCTGCTGCCTAGCAGGAACCAGAGTGCTCCTCGGGGCCCATCCCCCAGCAAATAAATGGCTTTCTCAGGTGGAGATCCTGGCCAGGCTCTGGCTCCTGGGGGCTGGCTGGGGCAGAAGGATCAGGGATCCCATGGGGTTTGCCACCTGGGCCTGAGAAAGAGATGGAAACAGATGTTCCAGGCTCCGTGTTCCCTGGTGGAGGAACCGCTGAGCTCTCCCCACTGGCCAGCTGTCCCTGCCTGGCCAGCCCAGGAGCTGAGAGGGTTGTGCTCGGCACGACCAGGGATCCCTAAGCTAGAACGCTGCTCCCCCGCAACCAGGCACACACATCAGTCTTGCATGAGTCCCTTACAAGAGCTACACAGTAGGTCCTGTCGGACCTGGGAGGTGGCCTGAGGCAGAGCTGAGGAATGTGGGCCAGCACCACCCACTGTCCCGGAGCCCCAAGGTGTCCAGGCTGTGGGCTCTGCTCCCCACCCTCCTCGGCCACCCTGCACCCCGCCCTGGCCTGACTGGTTTGGGAACCCAATCCAGTCCCTGCCATCCCTGCCTAGTGGGGGGAGGGGCCGCGCCCCGCCCACCAGACTCTGCTCCTGTTGTTCTGGGCTGTCATCTGAAGCTGAGCGCCCCACGGTGGGGTTTTGGGGGTGGCAGAAATCGCGGGGCTTCTGGTCCCTCGCATGTCAAGGCATGCTCACTGGGGCAGACGACTTTATGTGGCTGCGGAGGAGTGGGCAGGGGGACGGCGGGGGCGCTAGCGGGGGCGCACGGCCGGCCGGTAGGCCGCCAGGATCTCGGCGCTGTGCGGACACGTGTACTTGAACTCCTTCTCCTGCAGCGCGCTGTCCAGGTAGCGGCGGACGCCGCGCAGCTCGGCGGGGATGGGCGCCTGGCGGAAGTGCGCGCACACCGTCTGCGGGCGAGGGGCGCGGCGCGGTCAGGGTCTCCTCGAGGCCCCGCCCCACCCGCCCCGGCGCCCGGCCCGCGCTCACGTCCACGATGTGCAGCTTGGGCAGCAGGCCGCAGTCGGCGAGGGTGAGCTGGTCGCCGTCCAGGAAGCGGCGGCGCGACTCGCGCAGCTGCGGCTCCAGCGCCAGCTCGTGCTCCAGGGGCGCGTGCAGGTAGCTGTCCAGCCTGGCGAGGGCGCGCAGCAGCAGCTGGTACAGGGCTGAGGGCGGGGGCGCAGTGAGGACACGGCCTAGGGCGCAGCTCCCCCCACCCTCGCCGCGGCCCCCGACCCTCCTCACCATCGTCCTGCGCGGGCACCGGGTTCTTGATGAACGCGGAGAACTTGTGGAAGACGTCGTTGCCCGCCGTGGTGGACTCCCTGTAGCGGGGCGTCAGGCTGGGGAATCTGCGGGGCGGTCGGGTGGGGGGAAGGACTCGGGTCATACCCTTGCGCCGCCGCCCTGCCTCCCGCCAGGCCCCACAGCGCCCTTCCTGGGCTCTGTCCTGGGGGTGTCCTCCCTGGGGGCCCCATCTTGCCCCTCGCGCCGCGCCTGGGCCCTCACTCGGGGGGCCCCAGTGTCTCCTCCAGAAACTCCTCGATCTGCATCGTGTCCGTTTTGGCGTCGCCGTCATAGAGCAGGATGGGCAGCTGCGAGCCGGGGGCGAAGTCCTTCAGCACATCCGGGGACCTGTGGGCAGAGGCAGGGGAGCAGGCGGCAGGCCTGAGGGAGGCAGAGGCCAGGGAGGGGTCCCCTGGGGGCAGGGTCTCACCTGCGCATGTCCACGGTGGTGAGCGTGAAGGGCACACCCTTGAGGAGCAGGATCATGAAGAGCCGCTGACAAGAAGGGCAGTGCCCCACGCTTTCGCCGTCCTCGCTCGCCTGGTGTGGGTGGAGTAGAGGGGTGTCAGGGCAGGGAGCAGACCCAGGAATTCTGCCACCAGGCTGGGTGGAACCTGGCCTCCCACTGCCAAGAGGCTGGAGCGACTCCAGCGCTCGGGCTTGGTTTGGCACGGCCTCTACAAGTGGACGGTGAGGGCCCTTGACTTGGTCCCTGGGAGTTGGAGAGGGGAGCAGAGCTGCTGGGAGCCTGGAGGCTGGGTGAGGGCACAGGGGTGTGGGGGCGGGACCCGGGCTCTGGGGCCTGGCCCCTCAACCCTTATCTTCCGAGCGTGGGCAGAGGCCAGGGCCCTGGGCCCCAGGCCCTGCAGGCTGGTCGCAAGGGTGGGGTGGGACGAGCGAGCTGTTTTCTGAGCGATTCACCCGCCAGACTGGGTGCCGTGGCTGGCAACACACTTGCTGCCCTGCACCCTAAGGGTCGGGAGGGGGCCAGGGCCTGGCAGCCCCCACACAGGCACCCACGGATCTGGGCCCTGATGTGAGCACTGATGGTGCTGCCCGGCCCAGCCCCACTCTCCTGCTGCATTGACCCCAGGCTCTGCTTCTCGGCTTGTGCCTCGGCTGCTGGCTGCCTCATTGGCACCTCCCCATCCAGGGGGTTTTTCTCCAAGAGGGCTGGGCTGGGCCTAGGAGCCAAGGCTGGAGTCGGCACCCCCACCCCTTTGTGGACAGCTCACTGGCCCCTTCTCCCCCAGGCTGCCCCCACCTTACTCAGCCATCACAGGGGAAGGGGCGCAGACACTGCCTCAGAGACCCACCCCTCAGCCTGTCCCAGAAAGCAGAACCTGCAGAACACCACCCCCCCACCCCGAGGTCTCCCCCAGCCCAGCCTGCCCGGCACCTTGACAAACAGTTGCAGCTTTGCGGTTTCGGCCATGGTGGGGAGCAGCAGTGGCGGCGCTCGGGCGGGGACCTGGGGAGCTCTTTAAGGCTCCTGGGCGCCCCGCCTTCCCCAGCCCAGGGCCCGCCTCTCAGAGTCACCTAGGCAGGCGGACGAGGCTGGCGGGGCTCCGTGTCTGCATGTGAGGGTGTGACCATGGGGCAGCCTGGCCTTGGGCGTGTGAGGCTGACGGGCTGAGACCAGTCTACCTGGTGCAGGCGGAGCTCGCCGGGGACCTGAGCGCCCCATGGCAGGGGTGATGAAGGCTGAGACCAGTGGACTGGGAGGCAGGGAGAGAGGGGCGCCAGCCTGGGATTGCATCACCACCACCATGAAACCCACAGCCCTCCCTGCAGTGAACACCTTGTCTGGGACCCCAGCCCAGAAAGCCGGGGAGTGGGTAGGAGCAATGAACAGCCTGCCCCTAGCCTCAGTTTCCCCATCTGCCAAAGAGGGCATTACAAGTGTGATCAGCCTGCTTGGAAGGGACGCTCCTTCCCAGGGACGGAGCTGACAGAGCTCCATCAGGCAGAGCACCCCCCAGGGCGGGGCCCACATTCCAGACCTGCCCACAGGACGGGTAGGGGATAGGCCTGGCTCAGTTGTCTCTTCCCAGCCCACCCCACACCCCTGTCTCCCTCACGCAGGCTCAGGGCAGGCTTCTCCCCCCTCTTTAACCTTTAAAAGGAAGCACCAGGAGGTGCTTGGAACCACAGGGTCCGCCCACACCGCCCTCTGCTGAAAGGAAAAAACCAGGGGAGATGGGAAGCCTTCGGCCCCGCAGGTGTGCGCCCGCCCTGCCCAGCCCCCCACTTGACTGGAACCCACAACCTACCTTGCCCCTGTCGGGTTCGCCCACCGCACCTCCCCCACTCAGCCCGGGCACCTGATGCGGGGGCGTTGCTCCAGGGGGTGCCCCAAAGAGGCCCCATGACACCCAGTGGCCAAGAGTGGGATCTGCCCGGCGCCTTTGCCTCCTCCCCTGGGGCCTCCAGCCTCGCAGCCCCTTCCTAGACCCCACACCGGCAGGGCCTCCGGGCACGGGCCACCCTGTGAGCCTGGGGGCTGACCTTCATAAACTGTGGAGTTCACACCAGCGCCCCGCTGGGGCCCTGGCGTCCCCTTCACCTGCCATTGCACCACCGGTATTTCAGCTGCCCCTCAGCAACATGGGGGGGCTCACCCCCACTCGTTTCCTGCTTCCGGGCCCACAAACCACTGCCATGGAGAAGTGCCCCTCCACACCTGCACACGTTCACCAGATGTCCCGGGTGTACTTCTCTGTGTATAAAAATACCCTTACAAGTCCATAAGAAAAAATGGTGAAACAGACAACGAACAGGTGGTTCAGAGACAAGGAGATAGAGACATGGGTGTAAGATAGGAGAGTGTGTTCCACCTCACACGGTTCAGGAAATAAACCAGAACAGGAGATGGTTCACAGTTCACGGGCTGAAACCTGGTAACCATCTTCTCCATGAGGACGCGAAGAAACGCACTACTGGGGACGTGGAGTCAGCTGGCAAGACGGCAGCAGCCATTGAGACGGGTCACCCACCTGGGAATGTCCCCCAGGTGTCCTTGTAAATACTGGAGGGACATCTAAACGGCTGTCTGTGGAGTCCTGGTGTGTCCACAGGAGAGGGTGGGGAGGTGGGTCTCACTAGTCTGCGGTTTAGTTGTGCTGTGGCTGAACTGTGTCCCCCCAGTTCATGTGTGGAAGTCCTAGCCCCCGGCACCTCAGAATGTGACCTTGTGAGGAGACAGGGTCTTTACAGAGGTAGTCAAGTTAAAATGAGGTCATTAGGATGGGCCCTACCCCAACATGACTCTGTGTTGACAAAAAGAGGAGATGTGGACGCAGACACACACAGAGGGAGACCGCCCCGTGAAGACGGAGGCAGAGATGGGGTAGTACTTCTACAAACTGAGGAGCACCAACGACGGCCCGCAGGCCACCAGCAGCTGGGAGGGAGCATGGGACAGATGCTCCCTCATAGCCTGAAGGAACTGGCCCTGCCCACACCTCCTTGATCTTGGACTTCTGGCCTCCAGAACTGGGAGAGAATCCCTTCCGTTGGAGGTGCTCTGTTATGGTAGCTCTAGCGAACTGATACAAGTGGGAGGGAAAAACCCAGCAAAGTGAAAAAAATCTAAGCATTAGAGCCAGCCCTGATGACCTACTGGTTAAAGTTCAGCTCTCACTGCTTCGGTGGGCCGGCTTCACTTCCCAGTCACAGAACCACACCACCTGTCTGTCAGGTGCCATGCTGTGGCAGCGGCTCACATAGAACAATTAGAACAACTTATAACTAGGATATACAACCACGTACTGGGGCTGTG